TGAAGACGAATGGGTCAGTCTCCCTTCTTATACACATATTCTGATCATTAAACCTTGTAATCATTACAAAATTATTATTTGATTTTATGCGTAAGAGCTCTATGCAAATTGCTATACTCATTATCTGCCGGAATAGACCAACGGAAGTCAAGAAATTGTATTATGGATAAAATTTTACTTTGATAAAGTCACACAGTGTTGTTATACAGTAATATTTACTGATGACCACTTCTCGAGCAAAATCTATTGCTCTTGATCATATTGAGTTACTCACATAACTTTCTTGCTTCGTTTATATACATGAGTGAAAATTGAATAAAATCAATATAAGACTTGAGTGAAACAGAATGGAAGATAAAATACATTCGGAACGAATATTAGTGTTGTCAATAAAGTACAACAGGATAGAAAATAAGATGTTTTTATAGTAAAATAAATAACTTCTTAGAATGTTATAATGTGAACTGAAACACATTTTAACATTATTTATTATACTCTGATTTGACTAGTAATAAAATCTTCCATTTCTCTGGTATTTGCGTTGAGTCACTTCTGTTGCATGTGTTGGGTGTAGACTCGATGAACCAGGCAGGATTCAGTACTCAATCTCTCTCTCCACCCACGTATATTACTTCTTAGAATTTTGACTCTGTTCCACCCACCCTATTGTGTGATTGTGTGTTAATGCATGCAGTGCCATCGCTGAGTTTTTTTTCTAAATTACTTATCTTTTCGGGGTCAACCATTCTTACCTTAACTAAATTCTTAAGTTCTGATAATCTCACTACACCCGATCTACTATTTCGACAGAATGTATTTTATCTTCCATAACAGATTGACTAACAACACTCGTCTCATTTTCCATATTGTATTTTATTGATAACATTAATATTCGTTCCACATGCACATGTTTCACACAAGTCTTATATTGATTTTACTCAATTGTCTGATCACTTTTTACTCATGTATATAAACGAAGCAAGAAAGTGTTGTGAGTACCTTGATACAACTATGAGTAGTGATAAGTTGTGCTCGAAACGTCGTCATCAGTAAATATTACTGTATAACAACACTGTGTGACTTTATAAAAATAAAACTTTATCCATAATGGAATTACACTCTACCACAGTGCCCAAAATTTATTCTTATATCAATAATACATATGGAATTCAAGAAATTTGTAAGTAACTGACAGAAATCCGGTGCTCATCTTTACTTTCCGGAAGACTAATACCTAACCATGAATTTAGCCACGGAAGTGGACGCAACCAACTTGATTACATCGGTCGTTTTAGAACAGCGTTTATATTGATAACTGAGGTTATCACAATCGAAGATGTTTAAACAGATTTATATCAAAAATAAGCCGTAGAAGGTTTCTCTTAACACATTGGTTTTTCACACTTAACTGATTATATCTTAGTTTATTAGACCGTATGCGTTTATGGAGTCAGCATTAAACTCAACGAGGTTAACTCAGTATATATTGTACATATTTTACTTAGTGATATCTTCTAATGACCTACATTAATAAAGCTTGTTTTTAGTCCCCTTGTTATTTTCTACACGAAACTTCAATTACATTGTACTTATAACGGCAACACACCCTGTGTCCTAATTTACTAAATTTTCAATACATTTTATGAATAGACTGTGAGTATTGCTTAAATACTTTTCAGAATTTTGCTGTTTCTTATATTTCCAGCCAACTGAAGTAGTATGTTAAATTTAAAGTATAACCCATTTTACTTTAGTCACCTAGGGGTCATGCATAGTGTTGATATCAAGATATTCATGAAAAAAAGGGTGTGCCTTTCAAGTAACTCAAATTTCCTTTGGGATAAAAGTACCTTAATTAAGATTAGGAAAAACTGAAAGATAATCAGAGGTAAACACCGGTTTGCATAAAAACAGTCAGAGTAAGAAGAGGTTTAATAGAACAGACAAACAATTAGAAAGTTACAAAGAATGAGAACAGAGAATACTGTTCAGATTACCTCAGAAAATACAGACTAACACTAGTTTCTTATTGATACATACATTTCTTTGCGTTCTGAGTGGAACAAAGGGCTTCACACTCAAGGTTTCGAGTTTCAGTGGCAGTGTAACGACAGAAGACGACAAGGGCCAGGCAACAGATCGTTTATTGAGAAAATCAAGAGATTTCATAGATATTTATGTACATTACTATTAGCGTTGTTGGTAGAAAGGAAGCAACGTCTTCCGCCGATTGGTTGTTTTCTTGCTGAAGGTTATTCTGTACTGCTTGTGACCGTTTCTTAGAAAGTTAATTCATATATCTGCGAATCGTATTTACACACGTTAAGTCTGTTGCGATTGGTTGGTGAGTTCTTCAAGGTTAAGCTTTGTTATTGTTTTTTCTCATGACCCTGATTCGGGATGTGGACAATGACGTGAACATTGTTGTCTACAATTTTGGCTAGCAGACAGCTCTCACCACAGCAGTATCGTTTTACAGGGTAGTTAACCTCATGCCCACCTTTACCTCTTTAAGGAGCTTGCTATTGGTTAAGCAAGGTACAGAAGTGTATCAGCTGGAAATCGAACTTGGACCACGTGCTGCTTAATTGGTGAGTATTCACCCACTGAACTGCCGACTCACAAAGTTTTATTCATTAGACCTACTTGGACTTTACAAATTAAGTTATTTTTTTAATAGCTTTCAGGATGATATTATGATGAAACGATATTCAAACTCATAAAAGGATGATTCATTTTATTCAACAACTCGAATGAAAAAAAATAAGACAGCAAGGCGTGTACCCAGTGTCCATGGTTCAACGGTAGAATACTCACCAACCACCATGCAGGAAGTCTGGGTTCGAATCCCAGCTGATACAATACTCTATAGCCTGACCAATCCGGTAGTAAGCCGAGAAACACAAGGAAGATTGGAAGTAAGGCTAGCAACCCCATCTCCAAAAAATAACAACACAATGGCCTCTGATACTTCAAAAAGCTTGAAACTCTATGCTCCACGAGGAATGCAAAGAATGAGGGAATAAAAAAGAATAAAAGGCGCATATCATAAGGAGCACATCCTTGAACAATTCCAGTTGATGACTATCTTTAGAAATTCAGTGTGGTTGTTTATACTTTTTCTTCATAAAATAAACAATTATGGATTCGATAGTAAAATTTGCAAAAAAAACCTTTTAGCATCCATCAAGGAATCAGTTAGTTTGGTTGCCTGTTACACTTCAAGGACTATCAGTTCACATTATTCCCAGCTTATACTGTCCAAAACAGACATCAACAGTGTCACTTTTCTTTTTAACCTCAATCAAATATCCCAAAACCGATAGACACCACAGATTTCAAACGTTGCAGGTTAATTTATGACACTGGAAATACTGAATAAATGACACAGTCCTGAAATACTGCTAACTTGACTGCACACAAAAGTGAAGCATCTACAATTGTCACATTCCATATAGCACACAAAATTAGGGAAAAGAGATTCCAAAGGACTACAATAAGCAGAAGTGCATGGTAGAAAGAACAGTACCACAGAAAAATATGAAAAATTAGTGAATATGGCAGACGTCAAATAGTCATTGAGAAGAATTTTAGGACATATTATCATCAACAGTCTCAAGTCATTAGTTCTTAACAACCCAAGGACCCCAAAAAAGCAGTCTACACCCCCACCTACTTGGTTAAAACCAGCAGTAGGAGACTTCATGCATTGATGGCAAGTTTTAAGTTTACCTGACTGACTGAGTTCCAACAGAGAACTTTGCATAGAAGTGCAACAGTTCAGACAAAGGAGATAGAGAGAGAGAAAAGAGGTTCAAAAGAACTACAATAAACAGGAGAAGAAAGAATATTCTCCATTATTTCAAGAAGAAAGAATAATTTTTTGGTTTGGCCACTCTTAACTAACTCATTTCCAACCCAGTCCTATTACAACTAACGGAGTTCACTGAGGAAGGCGGTGGGCCGGTATGTGCAACACGTGTCCTAACCATCTCAAGAGATTCATCTTAACAACCTCATTGACTAACTTTCATCCCCTGCATAACACTATGTCTAACGCCACAATATAGCTCATCACTTAACACGGGAGATAGAACGCAAGCATCTGTGGTCAACGACACCGAGCCTAGCAATACTGATGGAAAAAAGGGAAAACCATTATTTTAAAAAGAGGTGATAGAGACATATGAAATCTAGCTTAGGAATGAATACATATAAGACACCAAATGAAGAGATTATTAACATGAAATTCCTTTTATATGAAAAAATAAACAATTAAACTTTACGACTTGAGACAACTAAAACAAACACGATTGACACCTTGTTACAAACCACCCTAGATACTGAGAATGACTTGTAAGCATAAAGCGCCTTTGATGATATCAGATAGTTGGAGGCAATCGGCAGGAAGCATGCTCGACCTACGTTTCGTGCCAGTTGGCACTCACCAGTCAGCAAGGCGAATCTGCTACCTTGAAGGAACAAGTCATGTCCCTCCATCTGAGATTCGAACCCGCGTCACCCAGTGCTGCAGTCAGATACATTACCACTGAGCTATTCGGGCTCGCGATTGACCTCCTGTAGGACTGTAATGGGTATTTTGATTGGACACTAGTAACTTGAATGGTGGCCACATTGCAAACCTGACTGATAGAATTCACTCTGCATCAAAGAAAGGACTAGACACGTCGCACTAGTTATTACTAGTGTCCAATCAAAATAAAGCACCTTTTTAAAACTTAAACTACTCAATACCTTTATGAAGAATATCAAACAGGGTTGCATGACATATTCATTAAAATGGAGAGAACAATAAGAACAAAACAATCATAGAGAATTCGAAGTAATTTCTAAAGTTTTGTATAAAATGATTTCCTACTTGTGATAAGGATGACAATACTACATTTCTATACACCGATCGATAAACATGCAAAAAAAGAAAAAAATAGCTAAATGAAATTACTTATCAATATTATAAAAACAAAAATTATGAAACTCACTTCATTATCCAACGGTGGAGGAAGTGAGCCTCGACCACCAGCAATACTAAATCCAAGACCATTTGAATCTCGAGTCAATGTACAGTGAATGTGCTATATAAAATGAATAGATAAATAAATGTTAGCATAATCTACGCATCATCACCGAACAAAGCATGGAATGGCAATCAAACCTCTACCTCTTTGAGAAGGCCTTCGACAGCGTTGACCGCGAAGTAATTTGGAAACTACTCAAGTACTACGGCGTACCCCAAATATTCATCAACCTTATTCAACAGCTGTACGACAACGGCACATGTCAAGTGATCCACAACGGAAAACTCAGCGAAGCGTTTCGAGTAAACAGAGGAGACAGACAAGGGTGCTTATTACCACCAATGATATTCCTAATTGTGGTGGACTGGATTATGCGTCAGACAGTGGGAAACGAGAAGACACGGATATCCTGGACCGACGTGAAGAACCTAGAAGACCTGGATTTCGCGCGTGGATGATTTATGTTTGATGTCACACAAAATCGAAGACTTACAAGCGAAAACCAACAAACTGGTCGAAGAAGCAGCAAAGACAGGACTCCAGGTGAACATAGACAAGTCGGAGGTTATGAAAATAATCAACCAACAACAACAGCAACATCCAGCGCCAATCACCATCAACGGGAGGGATTTGAAAGAGGTTACTTCAATCACTTATCCACAGAGCATTGTCTCAACTACAGGAGAAACATACAAAGATGTCAAATCGAGAATCGCGAGGGCGAGAAACACATTCATCAACCTGAAACCAATCTGGAAATCTTCGTCACTCAACTCAACATCAACAACAAAATTCGGATTTTCAATACAAACGTCAAGTCAGTCAGTTCTTCTATACGGATCAGAAACTTGGCGGGTCACAAAGAATATTTCCAACAGCCTGTTGCAGACCATTATCAACAACTGTCTTCGGTCTATACTCAAGATCAGATGGCCGGAAAGAATCACCAACAAGAAACTATGGGAACAAACAAAAAAGAACCAATCGCTCAACAAATATGCAGGAGAAAGTGGAGATGGATTGGACACTCGCTGAGGAGGCCTCCGCTGGGTGACATCGTGCGTCAGGTCACAGATCGAGTGGAACCCGAAAGGGAAGCGGCGAGTGGGACGTCCAAGGGTGACATGGAGGAGATCGTGTGAAGAGGAGTTGAAACAGTATGGACTAACATGGATGCAGGTGAAAAGTACAGCACAAGACAGAAACAAGTGGAGACGCGCAGTTGAAGCCCTATGTTCCACTAGGAACTCAAGGGAACAATAATAATAATAATCTACTTCTGTGGGTAAAACTGGACAGTGTGATTCACCACTGGAGAGGGAGAGAATATGCTTTGTTGGGACAACAACAACAACAACAGAAGCAGGGTTGATAAATACAATATACCGAAGAATCTGTGTATAGAACAACCAAATCAGACTTCGCATTCAGAATTATGTACCGACAGCACTGATACCACCATGACATAATGATTTGAAGAGTAGGGTAAATGCAGATATATCATACGGTAAAACGGTATTGTTCAATGGATGATGAGGTTCCGAACACAATTTATTCTTCATAATCATATCACTGACTGTAACTACAGAACTCCCTTATTCCTTCCTATTCGTCGTAGGGATAGTAGGATTTTCTATATGTCCGGGACAGGTGTTGAATCGTTTCTATTGCATTTATTTTCAGTTGATTCGTTAAATAAAACTTCGATTTTCAATCTCTCCACCCCCCACCACCTTGTTATATTAGATTTTAAGAACGTCATATTATCTCATCTTATTGTGTGTAACTCCGTGTATTGTTATAACTGAGCTACTTCTTTCTAGATTTTTTATATTATTCGGGCCAACGGAAGTTTTATTGATCGAATCAACTGAAAATACGTGCAATAGGAATGATTTAATACCTGTTCCGGACATCTGGAAATTCTTACCCTCCCCCCTACGACGACGAATAGGAAGGAATAAAGAAAACAATTTACAATTGATGATGTTATCATGAAGAAAAATTTGCATTAGAAACTTTGTCATCCAGTAAATAATACTGTTTCACTGTGTGATATATCTAATACACAACTTAGTACGGAATTACATGCTACCACAGTGCTCAAGTTTTACACATATATCAGTTCTTCAAAATGTTGTTTCCAGTAATTTGGAAGGTGCTTTATGAGATAGCCTGATACTGACCATTGCACGGATAAGACAGGCAAAAAAAGTCTGATGCAATACAAATACATTCGTGTCTTGCATTTACAGTTTGAATATTTTGTATCATTCTTCTTTATCTTAACTTTTTTTCTCCATACAACTGAACTTTTCCAAACTGAAAGGATATACAATCAATTATATAAGGTTGTATTTTACGCATGTCTATCTATCTATGCATAAATGACTACAACACATTTATGAAAACAAACTTGGAAGCAATCAAATCCCTGCAGGTCAACACTTGAAAATTAATCTACTGCTCACTAGTGTAATTGACTACAGGACTAAGTTGCCTTGAGTGCTAATGGCGAGTTGTGAACCAGTGGGGTCCACACCAGGTCAGGTGTGAGGATAAATACTCACCAGTGATATTGGCTAGCAGTGGCACTATGTATCACGAATCGATAGAATTCGGAGTCCATGGGCTATTTGACGCCATCGCGGGGGCTGAATGGTTATCTCATGACCTGAAGGTGGTCCTCCGTGAGTACTGCTAAAGAGTCCCAAACTAGGACGAAATAACTGTTCAGTGGTTTTCTTTTAGCTAATGTAAATCTGTGATCAAACTTGAAAGCAAAGCACTTGAAGACAAACATTATTTTGATCCCAATAGATATTCCTACAAACAACAGTAAGATGTTGAATAGTACTACACAGCTGGTTCCTTTCACTGTACCATTACTTAACAGCATATTAAAACCAATACTCTACCTAGTAAGACTAGTAATAGAGAAGATTAACAGCTAGGGGATAGGGATGGGAACGGTTTAGGGCTTTTTAAGCTTTGATATTTATTTGATCATGTAAGTTTTTATCAACAGGATTGATGATTCTAGTTGCATGATGAATAATATTTACGCATCATTCCTCTTTTGCTTCGGACTTTGATCAATTATAGTTGAGGAGAGAGAGAGACATAGAGTTTTTTTTCTGTCGAATTCTACTCTTACATTAATGATAACTTTTTGAAAGTTGAAAATTCCAATTCGGCATTCTTCAAGGAGTAATTTTTTTTTACTATAACAATAAGAACAGATGGAGTAGAATAAAAACGGACTATTATTCTATTTTATTGGTGTTTTATCCTCAACTGGTTACAAGCTGAATGATGAAAGTTTAGTAGGTTTTATTACAATTGGACATGAAATGTTGAACAACAATAATGTAGAACGGTCATGGTATATGATTGATTTGAAAGGTTAAGTTAGCTTCTAAAATAAAACATGAAATGAAGAGTAAGAGTAGATATTAATGCAATAAAGATGCCGAGTCCATTTTATCCTGCTGCATGCGCTGTTATCACTTTGTTCCGATTCAATAAAAGGAAATTCGGGAATGACATCAATTTCTAGGTCTTAGTGTAACAATAGAAGTCAACACACGCGAGCCAAGGTATATTTTTCATTATTATTGGAACCGCTGTTTATATATCTACAGTTTATATTCGTTAACCAATCACCGAGCGTGTGATTTCGGTTTACATCAAACAACATGAAAGAGAATGTTCAAATATACACAGTATTCTTTTGTTAATGTAGTATATAACCGTGAGAAATGTATTCTGTCTAACATCAAGTCGAATGTTCAAATAGATACATTGTATTCACTCATGGAAAATTCCCATTGTAACAGAGAAAATCAAAACAAGTGATTCAGCGAAGAGACTCTTTTCAACGAATTTATCATCAAGATCCCGATGTTGACCAACTCTATGTGTGTTTATCAATTCACCTGCTCGTGTGGAGCTAGGTATATCGGTCGTTCGACTCGAGTTTTGTCCAAGAGGGTGCAAGAACACTATCCTGTAGGGTTACGAAGAGGTGGAAGTGGAGCAATAGGAAGCGCGATCATTGAACATCTTGTCGATAATGATCACCCTATCTCTACAGCCTCCGCCTTTAAAGTCATCTACAAGGCGAAGAGTAATTTACCCAAATCACTACGTACTCGACTCATCTGTATTGCTGAAGCTTTGGCTATCGAAAAAGAAAAGCCAGATCTCTGTGTACAGAAAAAAGTTTGTTCAACCCCTCCAACTTTCATGGTCTTAATCGCTATATGCTAAAGTATGGTAATCCCCAATCATATTTCGGCTCTACCAATTTTTCATTTTTTCACTTTGTCTATTCAATTTGTATTCTCTTCCTTATTAAGTCAATTGTTACTATTACTACTCTCACTGTGAACTGTCCCCGGTATTATTTCACTTGTTCCACATGTCACTCTAAATCAATTCTGTTTTACAACGTTAAATTCTATGCAATTAAATTTCACACAATATTACGTAACGTTTTTATTTTATTCGATTTGTCTACTAATCTTATAATTGCACACCCTTTTTCAAGTCCTATCCATCCTATGAATTATTCTATATATGACATTAATTTGCTTTGCCACTTGACATTTAACTATGATTATAATCACAAACATTTTAGTTTTAATTGCATTTCATATTATTATTATTATCATTCTATGCAATCACACCTATGATTCAATTCCCTCACCGGAAATAACTTCTTAAAAACCATATATATACGATTGTACAGCTTGATGATAAATTCCTTGAAAAGAGTCTCTTCGCTGAATCACTTGTTTTGATTTTCAACATGGTATTCAGTATTGAATTGTTGGAATATGCAAGCATAACATTCCGTTCGCACACACTGTCTGTATCACACCACCACATTACTAATTACTTTTGCTATATATCATTAGTGATCCAGTGTGTTGTCTTTATTTTAGTTGATCACTCTCCTTCTTCTTTCTCAGTAAGCTGAGTTAATTTCAGTGTGAAATGCCAAGCTTCTCTTACAGCCTCTAAGATTACCAAAGTACTAAAGTGGTTATATTTTAACTGGCTAAACTCGTGAACAGCAACAAGACTACTATTAGAAGTATGCTTTTGCGATGTTTTCATCAAAACACGATTTAAGCAAACAAATACGCATTTTCGGTAAATTCCTGTCACGCTTTACAATTACATTACAAAATATCAGGCATTTGAAACACTGTGGATCAGCTGAATCGAATATAATCGAAAAGAATATGAGTAGAATAATAATACTAATACTAATAATAACCAGGATAACTATTCTAAGTCCGGGTGGAAGGCCATAAGGAAGAAGATAGACTGAAGAAACTTTTTCTGAACACAGAAATACGACTGAAAATCTTGTAGGGCAACTGTTTCAGCTATGCTTAGTAATCAGAGGTGTATAAACTTAGGAAATTGAGGTGACACCTTGTATAGAATTGCAAAGGCGTAATTTTTAAAAGTCTTGTGATCCGTTTCAACAAGATGCGCCAATATAGAAATCCTGACTGACTTTGCAACTGCTCTACCTAACCACGTTGGGCAATGCACAATAAGGCAACGATGGGCTGGCCGAGTCATTCTACCTATGTAACTGTCTCCATAAGAACAATTAAATTTATAAATGTATGTTGAGGTAGCCAGATCCAGTAGCTTATCCTTCACGTGCATTGGAATTGTACGACATGTGGTGAACTTTAAATATAGTGTTGCCGTTTAAGAAATATTTTAGCTATTATCTTTCGGAGTTTCGATGCCAGTAATTCAGTGGCTGTGTCTCCTTTGAACGGGAAAGTCATTTTTTTCTGCACACACTCTATATCTGTTCTCATCATGGAGACTTTAGCAAATTTTTCTGGATATCCATCAAGTGTCGGTTGTGCAGATTTTTCTAGCACGAAACAACCTGGCAATGTTAAGATTTCGTTTGTATACAAAAGAAACAAACGATATGAAATGGGTGCATTGGACAATCCATGATTTTTTCCGGAAAATACTTCGCTTAATACCCCCCCCTATCTTACCTCATTGTTGTTACTGTTCACAGGAAAATTACCTGCAATAGGCATACAGAAAACTTATTTAGTCTACAAATGTCAATTGAACTCAATGAACCGGAACATACTTTTCATGTATTAGACTAAGAGGGACAATTGTCATGTGAGACCTGATAATACTACCCATCTGCTGGAGCTGAGATAGCTAAAGCGGGGCTCGAACAGGTGATTTATCGACCGCCCTACCCCGTCCACTTTAAAAAAAGTTTACTTATTCTTAAACCAGTTAATTTAACGGCCTTCCAATGGGGACATGGAGAGAGAGAGTGGGAGGGAAATGATTAAAAATTAACGGATAACAGTAAAAAGAGTTGAAAATGAAAACCATTACAATAAACTGTTAGGTATTCACTTACTTCAGGTATGCTTTTCGTATTAATACTTCCCATCAGCTATGAAATGGACAAAAAAGAAGAGAAAACATACAAACAAAATGAAATATGCATTATCATTATCAAATAAAATAAACTCACATCATTCCATATTAGTTTGTTTATTAGGTATATCACACAGTGAAACAGTATTATTTACTGGATGACGTTTCCAGTAAATAATACTGTTTCACTATGTGATATACCTAATAAACAAACTAATATGGAATTACTTACTACCACAGTGCCCAAGTTTTACACATATATTAAAACTCACATCATAAATGAAATGTATGCGCTATTTTTTGTTTTCATTAGACACGAGTCAGTAAGTAGTGTAATGTATCTAGTCTTATATTTGGTGAGGACAGAATTCTATCGGTTTGTGTACTTTTCAAAAAAAAACTTAACTCCCAATGAATTATGTGTAAGTCACAAATAACATGTATGAAATACGATTGTGGCGAGTGCTACTGATATGATTTATCAGTAGTATATAAAGAGACGTTCATCGGCATAAAAACATCAAATAACAAGGAGATACAGTTGATTTCAGAAAAGGTAAATGATATTACGTTGCGGAGGTATGTGGGAGACGTGAAAGAGACATAAAAAAACACAACATGAAGTCCAGAAGTACCATAACACGAAGATCTGTGCAAATGGTATGATGAAGATTAGGTATATATAATTTAGCCATGCCAAGTCTTCGTCTTCTACCGTAGTAATTGGTGCCGGTGCCAAGATACGAGTCTAGGTTAGTGCAGTAATTAATAAGAAAGAGAGGGCAGTGATAACGAAGTACGGACATAACAGCATGTATGAGACAGGTGAGATAGCAGGTGTAGAGGCGTCGAAAGCACAGAATATGACTGTGTTAGTTAAAGAATGCGACCATCGGTTCACTGAAGATGGGGACGCCTACGGTTATTGTGATAAGGCGAGGCGTGAAATCCCACTTAGCAGTCACAAAATGGCACCAGTCAAAACACAACGAGACCCATGTCATCTAGAAGGCGAAGTCGAGCGACAAGTGAAGGAGATGTTACAGGACGATATTACTGAAGAAGCTGACAGCCCACATAACTCTACAGTTCTTCTAGTGAAGAAAGCAAACGGGAAGTACAGATTCTGCGTCCATTTCCGGTAGCTAAACAGCATGACAGAGCTGAGACCGTGTGCCATACCAACTGTACTAGAGACATTGGATTGTCTACAAAGCGCGAAGTTGTTTACAGTGCTCGACCTCCAGTCAGGATATTCGCAGATACCGATAAAACGGAGTGACAGAGATAAGACGGCGTTCATCTTATCAGTAGCACTCGTGACACTATTACTTGTTGAGAAAAAGAATAGTAGTATGGAGAAAAAAAAATAAAGTTTTAGTGGATATGCGAGGTAATACAGAGTGAATGCGCATTTATCCGCGCGCTATTGAGAATGATTGTAGTGATATGGCTCAAGATCGTTGTCAATGACCTAGATAGAGATGCATTCACTCTTTGTAATTTTCTACATCGCGTCGGTGGTACAGAGGTAGAGGTGGGCCAACCACGCAAGTGGTTCGGGGTTTGATCTCCTCCACCCGAAGGCACTGCTTTAACTCGCTAAAGGGATTAATAAGACTGATAAAGAGAGAAGATTGTACATAAGGTTAGCCACCTCATCCCATAAAATAAATACCACTGCTACAGAAACTTCAAAGCTCTACCTTGAAGCCCTTTGTTCCACCAGGAACGTAAATGAATAAAAAAATTCGATATCCATTTTAACCGTCATATTCCTTTTCCACATTATTATTCTTTGTCCCTCAAATTTCTCTTTACCTTAATCCTTTTGGATCCTTTTCTCTCCCTGTCTCTCTTTGTCTGACTTTGTGCGCTATATATGGATTGTGGTAACTTCAACTGTTGCACCTTTACTGAGCACCCTTCTATGTTTAAACTCAATCAATCAATGGTATGTCCTACTGATAAGAATTTATGAGTAGTGTGTTGGTGATGGCTTTCTGCAAGAATTTCCCCTGGAATAGCAAAGCAATGGATTAAGTTGCAAAAGACAGAGTGAAATGCAAACCGAAAGAAGTAGAATACGAATAATTTTCATCATAAATTGAAGGGTCATCAGTGTATGTCATTTTGCCAAAAGAAAAACAAAATAAGTCTGCAAACAAATACTACAGTTTTCTCTCTGTTTTTACCGTACTAAATATAGCGAATACAAAATGTGAATTACTTAAAAAAATAAATATATAGAGATACACTATTATTGATTTTATAACCTAGTCATCAACCTATTAAACTTATTATGCAATGATCATCTTTGATATTCAAGTGTTGGTTTGTAGGGATTTGATTGGTTACAGGATTTCATCTTTGACACTGTCAGTTAGGTAATGTAGTGAAGAATTAAGAAAACTTTACAAGTGACAGTCGAAATTCAAGTAAAACAACAACAACACTACGATCAATAATTATTGTCACAACTGGCATTTCAGTTGTTAATGTTATGGCTTGTAAATCACAGCATAGAACAAAATCAATAGTTAATGACAGAAATGATCGTGTAAATGTATACTTAAAAGAAAAAGGACTGCTTATCTTGAAAAGAAATAAATACAAATAAATATGATGTATAAATGACGATTGTTATAAACCAGCTGTTGGATGTATAAAAAGATCATTTATATTTTTATCAAGTCAAAACATCAATATACACTGCTTTTTTTCTTTCGAAAATGACAAATTTACTATTTATTTATTTTTAATTATAGCTTGATTTCACACCGTATTTTTGGTACAAATATGAAATATTCTTTTTTTTATTCCTTCACGTTCCCAATGGAACATAGGGCTTCAAGTTTCTGTAGAAGTGTTTACAGAATGGGGTTGCTAGCTTCATGCCCAACCTTTCTACTTTACCAGCTTTATTACTGACTTAGTGAGGTGAAGGAGTGCTTCGTTCGGGGGTCGAACCCCGGACCATGTGCATGGTTGGTGAGCATCCTAACCGCTGTGCCACCCACTCACTGAAATATTCTTAGCATGTGATATCGGTAGCCAAAATTTGCAGGCTGACCATTATTGATATCAGGTGTGAGTCAGCAGGGGATCGAACCTCAGACCATGTGCACGGTTGGCAAGAGTCCTAACCGCCGTGTCACCGACGCATCACACCGCCAGATAATTAAAAAAAGTTTCATTCGACAAAAAACAGTTAGCTTATGTGAATACCAGAGTTATTCAACGTTTACATGAGTCTTTTCATTTATCAGTGGTTTACAGTTGTGATGAATTCAACTGACAGGATACAGAAATAACTCAGAACACAATCTAAGTCTGTATGTAGTCTTTAAGATGACTCAAAGGACTTCAATTTCAAACAGACTAATAATCGTGGAAAGTACTCATCAGGGCATTACAAAAAAAGAGAACATGAAGTTCCGCAAAGATTTCTTTTCGGTGATTCCATTTAAATACATAATTTACCTAGATAAAATTAATTATTTAATTCCACCTAATTACGAAGGCGAATAAAAGGTGACAGTTATTTTCCAACTTGATATAGATTAAAAGAGGCTTAGAATATAATTGTAAAACAGTTATTTTCAACGAATTACAAGTGTGAGCAGTAGGAGCATGGAAACAAACTTGAAATAATTGTTCTTATAACTGAAAAAAGGATAAATTGAATGAAGACAAAGGGGAAAAATACACACACAGAGAACAAAACAAAAAACACCGAAGGCTAAGGGAACATACCGAACTAAGTCCATGGTAGTTGTGAAGGTCGGACTAGTTTCTTTTGAACACACAACTTCGATGCTTATTACGAGAGTTTCTGCAGTACAAAGAAGTCGGAAACATACTGCCTTTGGTAGGTTTTTGTTTACTTTATAAATGACCTTGAATGAACCAGTTGAGATGCTGCGAGAGGTGCTAATCAGCTGTTCAATTATGGCACTTCTGATTGAACAGGTGCCTCCTCTTTGCAGCCATGCTGGGTAATGTTCTCTAACACGCTTTCAAAGGACGCGCATATAATTACCTATGTACCTAGCTCCGCAAGAGCAGGTGAACTGGTAAATGCACACTGAATTGGTCATATGCGAGAGTTTGTCCTCTGCATTGTTCAGAAGTACTGGGCGGTTTGAGAATGTCACTCTTAATGTTGCTGTAGGGAAGGTCTTCTTTAAGCAGCTGGAGATTCTTCTCTTTAGGATATCAGCTGCCAAATCTCGCCTGAAGTTCAGATTCATATACAGAGTTTTTTCCAGCGCTGAACTGTATTCGAATAACCACCAGAAACATAGGATGTGACCGACTAACTGACTTTCACTACAGAACTTTACATAGAAGTGCAGTGCAGCAAACTGTTCGCCAATCACGCGTGTGGTTCCAGGTTCGATCTCTCGCCTGACGCATTCCTAAACCTCTTCTAACCGAAAGTAAGCCCGGTACAGAGGGAAGGTTGGGTTGGGGGGGGCAGCAACTCCACCCCCGTAAAAATAAAACAAAATGCTACTGAAGCTTCAAAGTCCAAGTTTGAAGCCCGATGTTTCACTGGGAACGCAAACCGAATAAAAGTAGGGGTGCGGCAGTTGAAGTTGCCACCCTCCATAGGTAAATAATAATAATATTAACAATAACTTTATTTTGCACAGCGTTTATATATTGTACAAAATTTTCAGCATAATTAATTGCATGATACTTTCTCTTCATTAAGGACCTTCAAAAAGAAAGAGTCACGTGGCGGCAGACCAAGTGAAACACTTCTGCCTGACATGAAGCGTATACCAAAAGCTTATGATGTCTCTCCTTTAGCTTCTTCGATAAATGCGTGTTAATTTAGTGGAATGGCGATTAGAAAAGTTTCAGGAATCCACCGTGTGAACCAAGGACACAACCCACGAACAACTATCTGTTACATTGCAATACTCACCAACCTAAGATTATGTTTTTTCTCACGACAACTAGAAACTTGCCAATTAGCAAGTTGTAAGCACATTAAATACCCGCAAG